GAGAGAGAGAGAGAGAGAGAGAGAGTAAGAGAGAGAGAGAGAGAGAAGTTTTCTGCTTCTTCTTAGCCTTTCCAGCAGCTGGACGTCCTGTCCTGGAACTTGTTTTGCCATAAACCAACGCTGTCTCTTGCCATTCTTCTTGTGTAAGTTGTTTTTGTTCTGAACCTGGCTTCTATGTCCTGTTCCCATTTTCTGTTATGTCTCCCTCTTCCTCTCTTGCTTTCTACCATTGTTTCTAGAATATGTATCTCGATTGAATGTTAGTAACATAGCTATTTAAGGTGTATATTCATTTCTGGGTTTATTCTAGTCAATTTGACCTTTACATGAGACTTACAAAACACGATGGTTTCTATGCGATGAATGTGGGAGCCTATAGCTTCAGAAATCGCTGTCATTAGTACTTTTTTTTATCCAGTTTCTACGGAGAAGCGATTTGTTTAGACAATCCTATTATTCAGAAATGTCATCGGTTATCTCTTCACGGGTATATTTCTTTACCCCTATTGATGCTTACACAAGTCTTCTGAGTCTAAGGCTAAGGTTTAGATCTATGGAAATCTGTCTGGTGGCACTGACATTTGAGTCATTTTTTACAAGAAACCACACACTTCACAGATCTGACAATGTAAAAGAAGGTGGCATTCACCATTCATAAGAATGTGACGTAGCCGCATTTTTATAATTCTGAACTTTGAAATTTAAAAAAATACAGGTTTTGATACTAATGGATGACGAGTTGAGCCATTGATTTCCAATTTTAGTTTTTTTCTTCTCTTTAAACGAATTAATTATAGTGCGGTTAAAAATTCGTGGCCCAAATTATTGTCAAATATCTCCTAAACTATCAAACATAGATTTTCCCATTTTGGCACAATGACTTGTATCAATTTGTCTTAACAGATCAACATTTTTGTAAACACCTGCTTGCTTTATTCTAGAAAACTCCTTACTAAACACTTAGAAAAATCTAAGAGGGTGGTTCCTCCAGATTTTTAAATGTTTACAGATGGGGGCAATATTACTTTTAATAGCAAGTTCGTCATTTTTTTTCTAATCGGGACATTATGCTTATTGAACGCATGTTTTGAGAGCCATTAGTGCTAAAAAATGTGTTCACTATGAAATTACTTTCTTGTAACAGGTTCAGTCAATAAAACTTGAAATTAATGAGCTGTGACGTAGGCCATATGCGCAATCAAAATGTGTGTGAGAAGCGGAGAGAGGTGTGAATAGTCCCATTTTACGTGTGACAGAGATTCCAAGTATTTTATATAAATCTATGAAGAAGGGATGTTAAATCTAGCCCAAATTGTTCAGGAAAAATATGATTTAATTAATTAAGACAAATAGATACAAACAGCTGTGCAAAGTATGGACAACATTGATTCACCCGTTAAAGAGATATTGGAGGATCGGTTGCACCACAAACTTTTGACCGTACAATAGTACCGGTGTCAGCGACGTAGCAAATCGGCGACTCTCTGTCGCGTCCAGAGACCCGAGATCGATTCCCGGGCGTGGCCAAAATTGTTGTCGAGTAACTCAGTCCTTCAGCAACGATGTTACGTCCCTCTCAGCTCGGGTTGGTTGTGACGGCCTAAATGATCCCAATAACTGTTTAGATGGGGGCGTAAAATGCCTACATTATTTTTTAATGTGAGAGTCTTCTGTTCAGTATAAGCGTATGGTGTAATAAATATGTGGGGGTGGGGTTTGTGTGTGTGTGTGTGTGTGTGTGTGTGTGTGTGTGTCTTTTGTGTGTGTGTGTGTATTTGTGTGTGTGTGATCGAGTTTGTGTATTCATATGAATGTTATCCGCAATGCATGTAGTAGTAACTTCTTGCTTCTTGTTTTAAATGTATTATAAGCCCCCCCCCCCCCACTCCCTTTTCCACAAAAAAACCGAAATCATTTAGGAGGCAGGCATTGACGTTGGCAGTCAGAGTCAACCCGGACAGAGAGGGATGCATATTCCCAACAGACAGGCTGAGATACTGGACAAAAATCATCCCCGTATTGATATCAAACTCGGATCCTCTATGCGTGACCACAAAGAGTCTGACTGCTACACAGCAAACGCTGATGGTGAGAAATTCTCAGCGTCGCACAGTCCATCCATCAGCAGTTATAGAACACTACTCCCCGAAGCTCCTTTGACTGTTTTGCTTCCTACTTTGGGCTCAGCCACATTCCTGATCTCAGGGTAGGTAAGATCTAACCTACAGCCTTCTCAGATATAGGCGACAAATCTCAGAGGTCCAGTGTGCAAGTTGTGCACGTTAAAGACCCCTTGGTGATCCTAAAATCGACAAAAGTAGGCTTCGGCCGCTACCCAGGTAAAATTCAAAATTAATTCCTATCATACTGAAAAATGTTTTATGCATGCCGCGCGCTCATACGACGTATGCCATTGCGAGCGCCGTGAAACACTAACCAAAAAATAAAAAGAGAGAAGTCCATCAACAGTTAAAGAGCACTACTTCTGGCAGCTCCTTTACGTCAGAGTAAACAACTCCCCAGTAATCTCCAGCCGCTTCAGACGGAGCGCTGTCCAGTTAATGTGGTCATGGCTGCGAAGTGTGGCGCCCATTTAGCTCTCTGCTTTGCTCCGGCCGCCTGGCCCTAACAGTTTAACTCAATTACGCGCTGTCGGGCTTCCTGCCGTGAGCATTTCTCGGACGCTAATTTCCTTTTCGCCCTTGACGAATTACATTCAGAGTCACCTTGGTATTTCTTGATCTTCGCAAGAAAGTCTTCGTGTTGCTGGGAATTTTGAGATAGAGACGCTGGCGGAATGTGCTTTCTAAATCAGGCCATTTCGAAGTCTCCGTGATGCTCGTAATTTTAAGATAGGGACTCCGGTGAAATGTGCTACATTATTCAGGCTACTCTAAAATAGATTGACCCCCAAACCATCAACGTCGTGTAGGTCGTTCACTGTCCTACAAAGCGAGACAACGACTCCCTTTTTCTGTGAGTAAAACTAGAAGTGACAGAGCTCGTCTGGGGTAGACGGTGAACATTGTTTTCATACGTACCACATCTTTAGTCCTGCTGCGTGGGTGGTTGATGGGTACTTTGGTTCCTCTTATCCTATCAAATTTCTATCTTCCTTATAACTTCTCCTTATTTTTTGTGTTTGTTACTGTCTTGCAATATTAGAAGTGTTACAAGAGAGTAACAATCATAAGCAGGGAAGAGTAGATATAAGGACGACAGATGTCTGATATTAAAGAAGGAGCAAGCCACACCAAAGAACCCGTCAGCGACACACTCCGTCAGTTCTTTGAGATTTACTTGCAGGCCATGCAAAAATGTGGCCTGAAAACGGGGTGGAATAATTACTGAGTTACAAGCTCAAACAAAGACCATGGAAAACGCAAGAGAACGATATTGTTATCCCGCGAAGGTTCGAACCTCAGTACTTCAAAATTATGTCTAAGTCGGGTTCATAAATCACCATATTATGGGCGACGTGGCCGAGATGGTAGTGGTTATGAAAGTTGGAGTCATATTGGTGGTGGTCGAGGATGTGGTCGTGGAAGTAGCAGAATTGGCAGTGGTAAATGTGACGGTAGCGATAGTGTTGGCAATAGTGGTGACAACAGAAGCGAAAGTAACAAGGGTAGGAGTGGTGGTGGGTGTAGTGGTGGTGGTGGGTGTAGTGGTGGTGGCAGCAGTTGTGGTGGTAGTGACGATAACAGTAGTGGTAATTATCCCAATAATGCTAGAGTTGTTAAATGTAATAATAATAATAATAATAATAATAATAATAATAATAATAATAATAATAATAATAATAATGATAATAATAATAATAATTGCATTTATATAGCGCATATCCATGTTCAAGAGCCTGCTCTGTGCGCTTTACAACTATTATTACCCCAGCAGACCCTCTGAGAACACTCAGAAACATTCTCAGTTTCCGCGGAAGCATAAATGTGGTTGACCAGCGCCCACGGTGAGCTTTGTTTCCGTACATATGAGACCCGAGCTCAATCCCGACTGAGGAGACCATTTTATCGAATATCTCAGTCTGTCAGATGGGCCCTGTCAGCCTGGGTTCGCTCTGACAAGCAGGGTCGGAGGCCCGCCTCCTCAATTGTCTAAATTGTGTCAATGAGGGCGTACGTACCATCCTTTAAAAGGAAAAAAAATAAACTCTTGCTATGGGAACAGAGAAAATATTAGTGATGATACTGTTGAGTATGGTCGAGGTAATAGGGGCAGCTGTTGTAGTGCTAGTTAATGATGGTGGCGTTGGTGTTGGTATTGGTGGGCTATCAGTACCAGACCTGGACCTTAAGCAAAACCCATGAAAGCAAAATCACCGCATGCGAAATGAAATGTATCCGCAAAACCCTTAACATCACAAGACGAGACAGGCAGAGAAATGAAGAAGTAAGAGCAGCTATCGCCACTGAGTCCTGTCTGCGTTACATAGAAGGACAGAGGATAAAATGGTTTGGCCACCTGTTACGTATGTCACCTGACCAGCCAGCCTCCAGAGCCTACAACACCAAGCACTCAGGCTATAAAGGAAGAGGAAGGCTACGCAAAAGATGGATCGGGGGTGTCAAGGAAACCCTAAGAAAACAATATAACATCACAACTGAAAGAGCTGCGGAGCTGGCCTACCATAGAAAACTGCATCTCCCCTGGACGCTTAACGGCAACAGAAGATGAAAAAGTAAAAGTAAAGTAAAGTAAGTATTGGTGGGATGATAATAGTACGTGCTGCGAATAGAGTATTGGAGTAAATCAACTTAGTAATAATGATCTCAAATCAGTGATGGTGGTTTTGACGTCGGAAAGGGGGGGGGGGGGGTATTAAAGTCAGGAGCCTGTAAAGGGCGTGAGATTTTGCAGACAGCAGAATGGGGGTTGGGGTGGGTCTAGGGTAGTTGGAAAGGCAGGAGGAAGGGGGGAGGGCACATCTAAGACGGTCAAAAGGAGAAGCTTCCTATTAAGATAACGCTTAAGGCGAAGGTTCCACTTCCGTTTGAACCTGGCTTACGGTCGTGTTTACTCATCAGCTGGTACATGTTACTGAAGATGTAACGCGTCTGGGAGTGAAGCTAATATGTTTGGATGGTTCATCCCCTCGGGGGCGGGTTGTTGTGCGGTTTCTGGTAATGATTTGTTAACACGGACTGTTGCAGGCCACAGACTAATACCTTGAGTGGGGGGGGGGGGTGAATTTACATATTTGCCTATTCTCGTGGTTTATATAGTTGGAGGAAAGAACGTAGCAGATGAAAGAAAGACAGATGGGCGGGGGAGAAGAGAAACACACAAAGAGAGGGAAGGGAAAGAGGGAGAGAGAGAGAGAGAGAGAGAGAGAGAGAGAGAGAGAGAGAGAGAGAGAGAGAGACTTCCACAGGCTGTGGCG